TGGGAGGGGAAACCCACATCACGGGACCCACAGCAGCCAGTCCAGCATCCGCGCTGCACATGGCTCTACAGCCGCTCTACACAGAGCAACACAGGCACCCCGCCCACTGGGACAGGAGCCGAGAAACTGTCACCCAAACCTCCGCCCTCCGGGACAGCGCTTGTTGAGCATGCGCAGCAGCCGGCGTGGAGCCCGCCCCATCCCCCCGCCCCCAACTCCTGTGGGGTACGGCACAGCCCAGTCACACCAAGAGCATCGAACCTTCCCCTGCACCTCTTCCAGGGGCTGTGCAGACCCTTGTTCAGGCAGCTCCACGGCGCTCTGCACTGGAAACGCACAGAGAAGGCGACCCCGCCCTGGGCTTTTGCCGCCTGGGCACTGGGTGAGGCGGGGCCATGCCCATCTGCTCCATGGAACCCCCAATGGCCCAATGGCCGGGACCCAGCTTGCTGCGGCCCCCAGCAACCCCGGGGGAGCCAACCTCAGAACCTGAGCCACAGCCTACTCCCAGCCCCGCATCACGGGAGGAGAGAGAAAACTCCACCCTGCTCCCAAGGCTGGAATCCAAGCCGTCCTCATCATCCAGGTCAGAGAAAACAGCCACAGAACTGGCCGAAGAGGATGCACAGCTGTTCAGAGCGCAGTCACACTGCCGCCAGATCACCAGAAGCCGAGCCATGTCAGCATCATATGCCACGGACATTGCCTGAATCAGGGAATCACCTAACGCATCCCAAGCTGGCTTCGAAAAAAACGTCTCAACCACAGGAAAAAAACCCTTTAGCTCTGCCATAAGCCTACAACCGCTGAAAATCAGCATCTGAAACATCAATCTGCTTCCAATTGAATACAGCGTGCCAAAACCCCACAACCGATGCCTCCATCGGCAACAATCCAAAGGTAGCCATGGCTCAGGACTGACCAATGACACCGCTACCATCACCTGCAATACCTGTCAAAGGTCACCAGATGTCACTGTCGGACGCAAAATTATTTACACAGACACCACTCGATGTATGGTAGAGGAAGAAGAAGCTTTATTCTGTCGTTTCAGTATTTATAGATTCTCGACAATGACCAGGGATTGGATAGTCAGGTTAACACCTTCCCAACCACACTGGTTGTAAGAAACATCCATCAAAAGACATATCTTTAATGGAATGTATAAACATCTATGGTTATAGTTACTTTCCTGGGAAAGTGTTTAGAAACTATGAAAACAATGTTAGAAAGCTTGATTTTCAGGGTGACACTCAAAGTCCTCTCTCATTATGCAGCTGTTAATTTTTGTTTAGAGCACTTATGTAGGAGGTCAGGCCTTGAATTCATTTTCTTCTTTCTGAGATAGTTCTGTAACTCTGGGAAAGAATAATGTCTTTGGTCATTCTCAGGAAAGCATAGGATCAAAAGAGAGGACCAGAAAAACCGTGTCTGTATCAATGGCCAGTGGTTAGGGCATTTAAATGATCAGGGAGCTCAATGGGGAAGAAGAGTGGGCTTCAGTTGCTCTGCTTGGTATTGTACCTGGTACAGTTCACAGAATCACTTTGCAAGCCCACTCATGCAAAATGGAATGGAGTCATGATAGTGATGCTAAAGTGACTTTTTTTTTATTAATAGAATCATGCCGTGAGAAAATCTGCTAATCCTTGGGCAATTTAGGTAGAGGATTTTCTCTTGCATTTTTAGATTTGTCAACATTATCAGACTGGCAGTTCTGGGCTGAGCAAGGATACAATGCTAGATAGTCAGGAAAAGTTGATTTTGTTGATGAAAAGCTCAACATGAGGCATCAATGTGCACTTGCAGCCCAGAAATCCAAACGTATCCTGGACTGCATTCAAAGCAGTGTGGGCAACAGGGGAGGGAGGGCATTCTGCCCCTCTGCTCTGTTCTGGTGAGACTCCACCTGCAGTGCTGCATCCAGCTCTGGGCCCCCTCCATGGACATGGACCTTCTGGAGCAAGTCCAGAGGAGGTCCAGGTGTTACAGGCAAAGCAACAAGCATACACCAGGTAATATTTTACAAAGAAGATTCCTTTCCTTTTGAGGATAAAAACAGCTTGGAAAATTACTGTGAATTTTATATGGGAGAGAATTATTAAGTTAAACCAACATCCTTATATATTTCACAATATTATACTGAAATTTGATGCGTATTTGAAAAGAAAATGATTACTAAAACTGTTGAAGGTGTACATAGGATCCAATATTGAAATGGATGTTTGCTTCCATGGTAACTATGTGTCATGTCCAGTGTTGGTGGGCTACAGTGGCTGGGATGGCCAGACATCCTGGCTTACCACACCCTGGTTTTGGCATCCTTTTAGCACATCTGAAATCTACTTGGATGGGCTGTATTTTAGAAAGAATACCTTGAAAAGGAAACATCAGTTAATTTCTACTTGAAAGGATATTATTAATAAGAATTATTACAGGACCCTCTATTCATAAAAGGAAATCTTAAATTAGGGGTCTGGGATAGTGGTAACATAGGCTTAATATTAGCACTGACTCCTCAAATCATGTAGGAATCACTATTTGAAGATAGGAATCACTATTTTTTTACTATTTGAATAGTAAAGGCAAAAACATTCTATGAATTAACTGCAGGAAACTGTAAGTTTAGCTATAAGCTGTAAACACTCTTGACAGCATTTGACAATTTAAATTTAAAACACAGGTGTTTTAGGTTTTCTAGGTTGATGGAGCAAGCATGATGCCTGCAGAGTACATAAAAGCAAAATCAAGAAACATTGGACTATATAAACTTAAGGACATATTTAGCAAACTGTTGTCCATATTCCTAACATTGGTGTGACACCTTCATAATAATTGCAAAATAATTAGCTAACAAACATATGTTATATGAATCAGTTCCAACTTTAGCACATGCAAATGCTTCAATCCTCCCTCTTGAGGAAGGGGCTATTAAACTAGCCCGATCTTTTCTTCCATTTCGTATCACCTTATTAGGATCTGCAAGGTATGAGATCCTTGGCAAAGTCAAAGCAGTAGCAGGTTGAGTGGCTTTGGGGCTCTGCTGAAGTACTGGAGAGTGGCCGCACTTTACTAGGCAAAGGCTGCCATGTATGTGTGGTAGGAAACTCAGTGCTGCCTTTGTCGGCATTGCCTTGGCTGGCTCTACTAAGTTCCTTGGTTTACCTCTTCACTGCCCACACAAAGGGAGCTGCTGACGTCCTGCTGGGCTTGCTGAAAGGGTAGCCTTTGGTGCTGCATGGTGGCTGTACCATGTGGCTGTCACCAGTTTTTTGGGACGGCCTGATAGCTAGGACCCCACAACATGACACCCCTGCACTCCTCCTCCCACCACCTTTGCCACTGCTTTCCACTCGCCAGGCTCCCCACAGGGGCTTTGCCCATGCCTCAGTCCTCAGTCTTAGCACAGGGGTGGGATCCCAGGGACCCCCTTTTTGGGGTGGGACGCTTCAGCATGGCTGGGATTGGCCCAGAGTGCCAGGCATCCTCTTGATATAGTGAACTCACTGCTGCTGTCACGGCACCGTGTCTTTGCAGATCTGTGTGCCCTTCCCCCACTGCTGGACCTCCACAGAAAGCATATCAAAAGGGGATGAGCTGTTGAAAAGGGCATCCTCCGCTCCAGCCAACACAGAATGGCACAGGGCAGCATGGGCTCTCCTGTGACACTGTTGGGGCTTCCCTCTAGGTAAGGGAAAATAGGGGGATTGGGGCCCATCTTTCAGTTCTCCTACCACAGTCCCAGTAAAATTACAGTTGTTGTCTAGAGACATAGAAACATAGATCCCACGACATGGAGGGACTGCTGTGGTGGCACAAGCATCCTCCTTTTTCTGGTCTGCACATGCAGAGTGGTAGCTTGGATTCAGCTGCAATGAGACATGGTGTTCCACAGCCACAGACTCTGGTGGCAGCTTGGGCAGTCAGGGCACAGGCGAAATTGTGTGCAATGCTGACATTAGTGGTGGCAGCTTGGTAGCTGCCATGCAGGCCATGTGGATGTATCTGGTGCCTGCAGTTGTTGCTAAGTAATGCAGTTGTTGGTGGTGACCGGCAGTGCGGCTTTAACCTGCTGAAGTCTGGGGCCATTTGAAACTGGCATGATGCGATGTCTCATGGTCCTGGGTGCTGTTTGCACCAGCCAAGTCTCCCAGTCTCTTGGACACTGACTGTGGCACTGGCTGCCTCAGTGTTTCACAGGTTTCTTGAAACTTGACTGCAGATAAGGTGGTATGCAGCAGTCTACAGCCCCGGGCACCAGTGGCAGGGCTGCTGGTATATTTTCCAATTTCTGGCACACACACTCCGCCATCTTGGGTAAGTGACTCCAGCGCCATATGCTCTCTGCCATTTTGAGCAGCTGTCACTGGCGTCTTAGTAGCTGCTTTTGCATTTTTCCTGGCTTTGTGAAAAATGATGTTCATTTTTCCTGGTGAAATTTTAAAAGGTTTAATAAAAAAGACAATAGTAGACAAAGACAATAAAGCAAAGGGTTAAAATGGCCAGGTGCTTGGCATTCTGCCAAGAACACACCTGATGTTTTGGAAACACCCTTTAGATACCCATTTCCATTGCATCAGCCAATTGTGTATTCATAAACAATTAAGCATATTCAAACTTTTCCAAGAACTGTTTTGCATGGCCACTCCTTGGGTCTGCCTTTCTAGAACACGCATTTTTAACACATGCTAATAGTGATAATATCTTTTTCTTATCACGTCTTAATTTGGGCCTGGGCACCTTCTTTCTAAGTGACGGTGAGTGTTGATAAGCAGCAGAGTCCTCATTATCTGTTCACTGGATGTTGTCCTGGAATGACTTTATGATACTGGTATCTCCAAATGCCTGGTTTATGTTATATATTAAGTTCTGCACCTTTAAGACTGGATTTGAGAGCTAGGGAAGTTGAAACTGCTGGAGGCTGATGGGAGTTTTTTCTCCTGGCCAGTAACTAACCATTTCTGAGAACTGACAGTGGTTTTGATCATTGAAAAGTGAGATCAACCTGTGAATACCACCTTAAAATGTAAGTCCGGGAATTTCTGGCTCTCTTTAGTTTCCGGCTTCTGAAGAGGTAACGGGGCTCCAGCTCAGCCTCTTCCTCACCCCAGGCCAGACAAGGCCACAGAGTTGGGGGCGGGGGGAGGAGAACAGGCCCAGGACAGGCCAGGCCGGTTCCTGTCTTGGCTGCAGTTTCTGCTGCTGAACTGAAACCTGACATCATGAACACCTGCAGCTTGAGCAAGACTTTAACTCTTTTACTACCCAGATGAGACTTGCAGATTAATTTTTTTTTTTTTTCAGAGGGAGGGGAAGAGAGAGAGAGTGATCAACATGTAAAGAGACACCATAAACTATCAAAGACAGTGAAGAAAGGAATTAAGCTTCAGAGGGGGAAGAGAAATAAGGAGATGCTTTAATAAGCTGAAATATTTTTCTGTTAAAGCTATGGAGATGGACAATAGTGTTCTGGAAAAACTTCTTTAATTCATGACATAGTATATAGGGAGGAATAGAGTGTTTCAAAGTGTGGATTTTAAGCAAATAGTGAACTAGCTGTGATCCTATGAGATGCTGGAACAGAAAAAGAGAAGTAATAGTTGAAAATCTGTGGCCTTTAAGAGGCAACAAGAAAACTTCTGTTTCCAGGGAGGCTCACAGAGACAGATGAAGAGAACTTTTGCCTTTGAATAACTCATCCTTAAACATGACATCCCTAGACTCATTGACCCATAACACACCTCAGAGTGGTGTGAAATGATGTGATGGCAAAATTTCCAGGCAAGTGGCAGAGAAATAGAAAGCCACGAAGAAAATGGTTTTCTTGTGAAAAACTCCATAGATTAGCAGAAAAAGACTTCTTGTTCTCTACAAAGACTGATGAAAAGACTATTTCAAAAATTGAGACTGTTTTAACCACCAAATTTTTTTTGTCTCTATGTTGTCATGTGAACAAGAAAATGGTTGGGTAGTTGGGGGAAAAAAATGGTTTCTGGAGGTTTTATTCTATTTCTTATTCTTGTAGTTTTTGTTAATAAACTTTCTTTGTTCCTTTTAAGCCTGTTTTGCTCTTGTTCTAATCCATATCTCACAGCAAGAAATAAGTAAGTTTTCTAGTAATTTTTTAGTTACTGCTTTAAAACCACAACAGATGTTATCCCAACTAAGCGGACAGTTCAAGCATACTATATAAACTATTACCACTACGCCTAAATTTTTGCTAATAGCAGAAATAAAAACTGTATTCATACAGCAAAGTAATTTTAACATACATATAGCATTCATGTTAATACTTGCAAAAAGCCAATATTATACTATGTATCTATAACAGCTTCCAACCACCTCAGCTAGTCTGAAACAAGTCTCCATGATTTTATAATATCTGCAGTGGCTTTTAGAGCCTGTTCCATAAGCCTCTACAGTTTTATAATGTAAAAAAATTTCATACCTCATGAACAGGGTCTTCTGGTACTGAAGCCCATGCTCTCATGTTCCTGGCGAAGTTTCCAGTTCTCGAAGGGGTCCAAACCAAAGACAGCTCTCCATGCCATTTCTCTAGGCAGCTCTAAAGGCTTCAGGCAGCTCTGTCTCCACACTGCTCTTCTCTACTGGGACTTTGCAACTCAAAGGTTGCAGGAAGCTCTCTAGGCTGCCCCACAGTTCTCCACTGCTTTTTACAACTCGAAGGCTGCAGGCAGCTCTTACACACTGCCCCACCTGTCTCCCCACTCGTCTCTTCTCAGGGCAGCTGTTGGATCACATCAGCAGGTCACCAATTGTTACAGTTTCAGACACAGGCAAAGTAGCAAGCACACACTAGGTTCATGCCACAACAGCCAAAGTTTATTCTTAGGCAGCTCATTTTATAGGGCGTTCAAATTTCCCATACTTACAGACATGATTGGTCAAAGGTGTCAACTCTGCCCAGTTTACTGGCCAATGCTATGGTTGCATTCATACTTCAAAAGGATTGGCTCTGGTCCTCTATTTGAATTTGAACCCAACCTATCACTATCATGTCATGTTTACCTTTATTCTCTAGTGAGCTAGGTGGGTCTAGCTGGTATCTGTTAAACCTAATTATCTGTGCAGCTATATACCAACTATAGCTGTTACAATCAGGAAGTTGGTAAGAGGGTTGCAGCTCCTTCCCAATGAGGACAGGCTGAGAAAGTTTGGGCTGTTCAGCCTGGAGAAGAGAAGGTCGTGTGGAGATCTCATTGCAACCTTCAAGAATGGAAAGGGGCTACGGGGAAGCTGGAGAGGGATTCTTCATCAGGAATTGTAGTGATAGGATAAGGAATTCAAACTGAGGTTCAAACTGAAAGACTAGATTTAGCATAGATGTTAGGAAAAAAATCTCTGTGAGGATGGTAAGGCCCTAGCACATGTTGCCTGGAGAAGCTGTGGACCACCAACTCCTGGCAATGTTCAAGGCCAGGTTGGATTGAGCACCTTGGTCTTTAGGGATATGTTCCTGCTCATGGAACTAGATGCTCTTTAAGGTAGTTTCAATCAAAATCATTCTATGATTCTATTCATAGAGTTCAGAAGAGATACAAAATTCCTCCACACCATGACCAAGATTAGATGGGGACTGAATGCTAGTTCTCAGAATTACAGTTTTGGAGTTTGATACTCAAAATCGGTAGAGTTTTCTGCTCTCTCACCCTCTCTGTTTTGATTTTTGACTTTCTAGATCTGCTCTTCAGTATTGCATTGAAGGAAAAGCTTAGATTCAAAAAAGAGAAGAATCAGAAACAACAACTTTCTGTATAGACTGGGATCTGAATTACACCTCTCAAGTTCCACTGTACTCAAGAAGTCATGAAGTATGTTACATATTCACTTCCTTACCCCCAAAAGTGCTCCTTCATGGACATGCCCCAGTACTTTTAGCTGTACCAAGGGGATTATAAGAGGTGATGGTGCAGTGAGAATTATTATGAAATGAAAAATTTCTGTGGAGCCACAACCTCTCTGGGTAGCACAAGCTTCAAAACAACCCTTAGGTAGCAGCTTTATGAATGCTTTATGCTGGCACACAATCAAAAACTAATCCATCTTTTTTTCTCTGTTCCTTCCCACTCCCTTTTTTGTGTCAGTACAGTCATCTTGGGAAGCAGTTTGGAGCTGAAATGAATGCGTGAAGCTCATCAGTGTGCTTTTAGCCCCAGGGGATTTTCTGATCCTATTCACTGTACACCCAACGTTTTTAATAGCACAGAAGGAGAATTTTAGTTGTAGGTGAGTGCCTGGTAACAAAGGTATAAATTTTTGCCTTTAAGTGAAATTCCTACATTTTCCTCCTTAAAGTACTTCAGTTGTTTCTTTGGATCAGCAACTACCCAGTGGATAAACCATGAGAAGATGATGTTAGGGAAACATGGCCATTAGTATTAAGCACAGAATTTCAGTCTTTGTCTTAAAATAAAAATCAAGATGTATCAAATTGGGATTTATGACCAGGTAGCAAATGCATCATCTCCACCCCAGAAATCATTATGGAGAACCTAGACCAGACTGCAAAAGAGTAGAGATTTTGCAATATGGAGTCAACTACTCAATTACAGTTCTATTTCAGTCAGGAATTTGTAATGATTTAGTTTCCCTTGGAAGGAATGTCAATCAAATAATAATATCACTCCTAGTTAAGAAAAAATTCCGGTTCTTTTTGTGGTAGTTTGCAAGGAAATAAACATGTACATCTAGATAATATTATATTAGTCCTGCATGGCAGTGGTAAGGCTGGCAGGCAGCCTACTCTATACAATGTACACAAGCCAAGACCACATTGCAATGGAAAATCAACTCTCAGCCAACTGTACTTGGATTGGAAGGAATTTGAGCACAGTTAGTGTTCTGAATCCTAAATTGCCACCATGATGTCTTTGCTCAAATATAAAGCTTATGAAGGTACTGGAGTAGGACTTGTTAAGACTACCTCTGGGAAATTTTTTTTAAGTGTAGTGTTAATGCCATTTAATTTGAAAATAATGAGACAGGGAAAGTAAGAAAGAGAAAGACAGATCTCACAAAAATCAGAAATCTAGTTAGTGATATGCCCACTGGCAGTGTATGGAAGCAAAGGTGAAATTAAGGAAGAGCATAGTGATGCTTTTATAAAATTAAAATAATTAACACACAACAAAAAAAATCTAGGAGCAGTAACAGTATAGTTTATGGAAAATATACTACTACTACTACTTCTTCTTGTTCTTCTTGTTGTTCTTGTTCTTGTTCTTCTTGTTCTTCTTCTTGTTCTTCTTCTTGTTCTTCTTCTTCTTGTTCTTGTTCTTCTTGTTCTTCTTGTTCTTCTTCTTCTTGTTCTTCTTCTTGTTCTTGTTCTTCTTGTTCTTGTTCTTCTTGTTCTTGTTCTTCTTGTCCTTGTTCTTGTTCTTGTTCTTCTTGTTCTTCTTCTTCTTCTTGTTCTTCTTCTTGTTCTTGTTGTTGTTGTTGTTGTTGTTGTTCTTCTTCTTCTTCTTCTTGTTCTTCTTGTTCTTCTTGTTCTTCTTGTTCTTCTTGTTCTTCTTGTTCTTTTTGTTCTTCTTGTTCTTGTTCTTGTTCTTCTTGTTCTTGTTCTTCTTCTTGTTCTTCTTGTTCTTGTTCTTGTTCTTCTTGTTCTTCTTGTTCTTCTTGTTCTTGTTCTTCTTGTTCTTCTTGTTCTTGTTGTTGTTGTTGTTGTTGTTCTTCTTCTTCTTCTTGTTCTTCTTCTTGTTCTTGTTGTTGTTGTTGTTCTTCTTCTTCTTGTTCTTCTTCTTCTTCTTGTTCTTCTTGTTCTTCTTGTTCTTTTTGTTCTTCTTGTTCTTGTTCTTGTTCTTCTTGTTCTTGTTGTTCTTGTTGTTCTTGTTGTTCTTGTTGTTCTTGTTGTTGTTGTTGTTGTTGTTGTTGTTGTTGTTCTTCTTCTTCTTCTTCTTCTTCTTCTTCTTCTTCTTCTTCTTCTTCTTGTTCTTCTTCTTCTTGTTCTTCTTCTTCTTCTTCTTGTTCTTCTTGTTCTTCTTGTTCTTGTTCTTCTTGTTCTTGTTCTTCTTGTTCTTCTTCTTGTTCTTCTTGTTCTTCTTCCTCTTGTTCTTCTTGTTCTTGTTCTTCTTGTTCTTCTTGTTCTTCTTGTTCTTCTTCCTCTTGTTCTTCTTGTTCTTGTTCTTCTTCTTGTTCTTCTTGTTCTTGTTCTTCTTCTTCTTGTTCTTCTTGTTCTTCTTCTTGTTCTTCTTCTTGTTCTTCTTCTTGTTCTTGTTCTTCTTGTTCTTCTTGTTCTTCTTGTTCTTCTTGTTCTTCTTGTTCTTGTTCTTCTTGTTCTTGTTCTTCTTGTTCTTCTTGTTCTTCTTGTTCTTGTTCTTGTTCTTCTTGTTCTTCTTGTTCTTCTTGTTCTTCTTGTTCTTCTTCTTGTTCTTGTTCTTCTTGTTCTTGTTCTTGTTCTTCTTCTTGTTCTTCTTCTTCTTCTTGTTCTTGTTGTTCTTGTTCTTGTTCTTGTTCTTCTTATTCTTGTTCTTATTCTTGTTCTTCTTATTCTTATTCTTATTCTTATTCTTATTATTCTTATCTTTCCTTATGACATGTTGTTATGAAGCAGTTTAAACACAGAAGTGCAAAGAAAATTAAGTCTGTGAATAGTACAGATTGACCCAGAAAGGTCTGAAAATACCCCAAGACTTGATTAAAATCAAATTAAGTTGTTGGTGCCAAAAAATTTGATACTTTTTATTTACTAGTAAAAGGGGCAAAGGGAAAGAGGCAGAGAGAAGGAAGGGAGCGGGGGAGGAGGGAGGAAGGCAGGCAGGAAGGCGGGAAGGCAGGAAGGCAGTCAGGCAGGAAGGAAGGCAGGTGGGAAGGCAGGAAGGAAGGCAGGAAGGAAGGCAGGATGGAAGACAGGCAGGAAGGCAGGCAGGAAGGCAGGGAGGAAGGAAGGAAAGCAGGAAGGAAGTCAGGAAGGAAGGAAGAAAGGAAGGAAGTGTGGAAGGAAGGAAGTCTGGAAGGAAGTCAGGAAGTGCGGGAGTGCGGAAGTGTGGAAGGAAGGAAGTGCAGAAGTGCGGAAGGAAGTGCGGAAGGAAGTGCGGAAGGAAGGAAGTGCGGGAGGGAGGGAGTGCAGGNAGGGAGGGAGGTGGGGGTCCCCTACAGCCCTGCACGGAAAAGTATAGAATCCAATGGATTCATATCTGTTTGGGGCCGGTGGGAATGCCCAGGTGCCTCCCCTGGAGAGCGGAAGTTTGACACTGTCACTTGCAACACACGCTCTTTTGCATCATGCTGCAGTGCTCTGCTACAGACCCCTTTGACAGGGTATGACACCCCCTCTACTGTCTTTCATGTAAATGCAGCTTTTCCCAGGATGAAGCGCTGCACAGCTGAGCAGGTCTGCACAGCAGATGCAGATGGATGTTCACAGTAGATGGATGTTCACGGCCTCCAAGCAGAGGCTTTTTTACTTTTTTTAGTCCTCCTCCCCCACTTTGTTGTGGGGGTCTTAGCCAGCCTGGCAACTGATAGCCCCGGTGCTGTGGTCTCCACCTCAAAGGTACTAAGCCTGATCTCTGTGTGAATGTATTCTTTGTCTCCTAGCCCAGACCTGAGTCACTTTATCTTATCTCCATCAACCTGCAGTCCAGGGCCTTAGACAAGGAGCGGTAGTCTTCTCTGCAGCTTTTATATAGTTTTGCTATAATAGGCAAAAATATTTCATAAAGATGTCTAAGTCATAAATTAAAACATTTCAGTCTCTGACGTGTGTTCCCCGGTATGTCTCTACAGTGATCTTATTAAAGTGCTTTTAGAATTTAGTCTCAGGTTGGTTTGATTACATGTGGCTGCTCAACAAGGGATTTTATGCCTTGTAGTTTGCTAAAAAAGCCAATGAAAATAATATGAATGTTATTTCGATTAACTATCTCTTTTGTCTTGTAATACTGCAATTGATGTATTTTATTTTTCTGTATTTGGGAAGAAATCCCTTTCCTATTTCCAGCCATACTTGTTTTGACAAGTGATGGTGTAGCTCCTCTTTTTCATGCCATCCTAAGTAGTTGCCATGGTGTCACCAAAACTGTGGGGGAAAACAAAAAACAAAGAAAAACCTCTAAAAAACCAGATTTAGTGTTAGAGAATCAAAGGATTACTTTATTCTGGCCAGGATGTTTTTCTGGCCAGATGTGCAACAGAAGTAATTTCATCCACACACTGCCCAGGCTTTGCAGAGAAAATCATCCCATCACACATGAAATTTAATAGATTTTTCACGTTTCATACCCACATCAAACCCCACAGAAATTCATTGGTTCAATGTTCACTGGTCCCAAGTTGCGTAGTTCTTAGTATTTTATTTCCTATTGGATTTCTTTGCCTCAGATGCTGATTAGGTTCTCATTCTTATCTCTCTTTTCCCAGACCAATTGTCTCTGACCATGCCAGGGGTGACGTTTGGAGATGATGGTTGTTAATGGTCATTATCTTTTGCGTACCTTCTGTACTACTCCTAGTCTATCAAGATATTAAGCTCATCAGACCTCACCTGGTGTAGCAGTCCCCTGAAAAGAAACTTCAATTCCCTTCCCTCGGGGCAAAGGCAAAAAAAACTGACTAAAGTTACATAAAAAATTTAAAACATTCTAAAATTTCCAACAATGGGAATTTCAGTCCATTTTAAAATTTGCTCTCAGACCTGTTTAAAGTCCTGTTTTAAGTTTGGAGAGCCATGATTTAAATAGCTGGTGTGCAAAAGCTAGATGATGTCTATTAGCATGAAGTGGCCTTTTAGGTACAGTGTGTTTCTTGCAAACTTCTTTAATGTGATTCAATGCAATCCTACCAAAAAAAAAAAGATAAACTATAAAAAATGTACAATCATTTTCACAGATGAACATTTAATTTCACATTAACACTGAACTTAAACCACTCAGCAAAAAAAAAGCATCTATAATTAAATGGGTAAATAGAATTAAGTTATGATACTGATAATTGAATGAAACACTAGTGGCAAAAAGGAACTACTGGTGGTTTGGTCTTAAGAGAAAGACTGCCTGTAAGGACTGGCATTAGAATACTGAGTGGTGAATGTTCTTTCTGCCTCTAATTAAAATACTGCTTGTGACAATTTTCTTTGGCCTATAAATGCTAAATCAAGTGTTTGATGAAGTTATCTGATGCATAGCACCTTCTGAAAAATTCTCTCCTGCTTTCTCTCCTGTATTTTTATGATTTTGGTAAAAGCCCCCAAACCAGGTCATCCTTGAGTTTACCTTTCATGCAATTTAAGCAGTGAAACAGTTCCATATTTTTACTAGTGTGTAGAAAAGGCCATTTTCCTGCAGATACTTAATGAATGAAAGAAAATCTTTTATAACCTTGTAAAAAATGAGGTTCACTCTCTTGATAAAATTTAAAAGTTTAAGAAAAAACAATAGGAGACAAAGATAATAAAGCAAAGTTTAACAACCAGATGCTTGCCAAGACCACACCTGCTATTTTGGAGACAACCTCTATATACTTTTTCTATTGCATCAGCCTATTGCACATTCATAAACAATTATATATAAAAACTTTTCCCCTAACTAGTTTACATGTTCCAATAATTGTTCAGCATGGCTCCACCTTGGGACCACATTTTTAAAGCATGAGTATTTCTTGGCTGTGGTTTTAGTCTGTTCTTATTATCTCCTCCAGCTTGGGTTCTGGTCCATACTTTCTTCAGATAGTAGGTGCTGATAGTTGGCATATCAGTAGCAGGGTCTTCATCATATCTTCATTGGATATTATCCCAACCAAGCAGGCTGTTCAATTACCACAAGCATATCTATATCAGCTATTAACTGAGTCTAGGTTTAGGTGATAACAGAAATAAAAACCATATTTTTATAAAAGTTACTTTAACATTATACATATAACATCCATTTAATAGTTGCAAAAAGCCAATATTATAATATGTATTTATAATAACCTTGAAT